TTAAATTTCTGTGTTGGAAGAGAGCATTCCTTCTGGGGCAAACTACTCCACCATGATGAATGAGGATTCCTCCTTCACTGTCATATAAATTGCACTGGAGGGAGGGGTCCACCAAGGCAGAACGGGCCTCCCAGCACCCCAGGTCCTCAGCAGATGGTTAGCACTGGCCCACCCACAGGGATGACCAGATCAGGACGGTCCACAGTGGGTGGGGTAGATCAGCCCACTGCCAACCAGAAGACATTGTCTCTCAGGACTGTGTCTTGACACGTGCACTTTGTTGAGTGGTCCTAGCACTCTTCGTCTTTTGAGACTTTTGATTCATTTTCTTTGCGTAACTTTTTCTGTTGGTAAATGCATATGGCTATAGCAGAGATGCAGAGCAAAATAAATATCACAACTGCTATCACACCTGGGGTAGGGGAGAAGACAGAAGAACACCAAGTGAGAATATAAATGGCGATTTTTGCCTTAATTGGGGGCTTTGCTAACATCACTGCCTTATAAGGTAGGTTGCAACAAACCAACCATCTACTATATCATAAGCTGGGACCATCAAGCCTCAGGAATTTTAGGGTCCGGTGGTTTTATAACATTTGGTGTGTCTGAGTTTCCATGACTTTTGGATATAGTTGGGGTAGTCCTTTTCCCTAAAGGCCCGTGATTGAAATTCAGCTTTTGTGCTTAAAAACAGAAACAGGACTTGTGAAGCTGGGGCAGGAAGATCACAAGTTCAAAACCCGTCTCAGCAAATTAGTGAGGCCCAAAGCAACTTCGAGAGACCCTGTCTCTAGATAAAAAATTTAAAAGGCTGGAGATGCTGCTTAGTGATTAAGTACCCCTGGGTTCAATCCTTGGTTCCGAAACAAACAAACAAACAACAAAAACAAATATACACAAGGCTCTGAGATGAAGTTTTAAATTATCTTAAAAGTATAGGGGCTGGGTTGTTGCTCAGTGATAGAGTGCTTGCCTTGCATGCGTGAGACCCTGGGTTCACACCTCAGCACTAAATAAAATAAGTGAATAAAATAAAGCTAAAAAAAAAAAAGGTTACTACTACTAAAAAGAAAAGTATAGTATGTTTAGTACCATCCTAGAATAAATGTTATTTTTTAACTAAGTAGATACATTTTCATTAAATTCTTTTATATCTTTGTAAATTTGTTTTGATGATAGAGATCAAATCCAGGGCCTAGCACCCTACCACTGAGCTATCTCCCCAACTCCAAAATACTTTAATGACAACATAATTTTGAAATGCAGTCATGTAACATACATGTGATCAATCCCTGTCGTCAAAAATATTGCAGGGATACTTATTAAGTTTATTTTTGTGGAATGTGGACTATTTGAAAGAACCAGGTGTAAATGTTCTAAAATATTGAGACCATTAGCTATGCCATGGCTCTCAACCCGAAATCATGCTGAATCAGAATACCTGAGGGGAAGACCTGGTGCCTCCTTCTAGTTTAAGGCTGTAATTCAGAGCCAGAGTGCTAAAGCACCCCCAAGAAAGCTAGCTGTACAGCAGTCATATTCATGAAGAATGAAAGTCAAATCTATGCTACACCAAAAAACTATGCATAAAGCCATGCTTGGACTGTCCACATTGTAAGTGTAAGACAAAAGGTATCAATTTGTATCTCCAGCTGGTGACTGTTAGAATATGAAGACTATTTCTGTGAAGAGTCTTTGTGAATATTAAATGAAATAAAGTGAATAAAACAATTAATTTAAGCCTAGGTATGGTATAGTTATGGTACTTTCAGTAATGAAAATTATTATTAGCTTTAAAAATCATAATAATTTCATAAAATTATATTTCTAATTCAATGACTAATGGTTACTTGAATATTTCTTTTATTATACTAGCAAGTATTTCAGAGGATCAGATTGAAATAACAGTAAAAAACAAACACTGGATTTAGTAATAAATAGACATAACAGAAAAATTCTCTAAATCTTATCTCTTATGCAAATTATGACAATAAAATATGAGAAAGAAATAAGGCTGAAGTATGTATATGAGGAGAATAAAATAAATTATTGGAAAAAAAAAACAAAAAACAAAGACCAGTGGAATCCTTCTGCGCATTCTCCTTCTTCCCCTCCGCTCCTTCAAGAACTCATCAGAGTTTCTCACACAGCCCAAGAGCCGTGTACGATTTATTGTTGAACAGCAGAGAATCTTGCCAGTGACTTTTTACAGAAAACCTTACAGTGATGTTTGACCAAAAGCAATAAAATTCCAAAAGTAAGTTTTTGTTGTTGTTGTTATTGTTGTTCTGTTTTCAATTTGCTGACGACCTCTAGCTCTTCAAGAAGGTCAGGGGCTAAGTCTGACATTTTGCAAACACTTGTAGGACTTGGGATCCTGTTCTGGAATGTTGAACATCTTTAAATTGCTTTTGTATTGCAATGAAAAATTGTCTTCCCCCCAAAAAATCAGGATTTATTAAGGATTATATTTGATTTAAAATCTAAGATAAAAGTAGTCTTTTTAGATATGCATTCTTGACTACCTTCTCACATAAAACTGTGTAATACTGCTTTTTCCTCATTGGGTCATGTATTATTATTTTATACCTCACTGATTTCAAAGAGAAAAATAACCAAGAGAGTGACAAATGTCAATACATGAAAAAAGATATTTAGTCAGGTTTTCATAATGTCTGAATTGTTTTGTTTTCTATCATTTTAGAGGAAAAAAGTTTGCTTTGTATGTGCTATGAAGAGTCTATACAACAAGAAAACAAACACTATTTCAATAATCCATTAATTAATTAGTGAGGAAATATGAAATCTTATTTTTTTCACACCAGCTCTGATAAATTATATTTGTTGTTTTCGTTGCCAAAAAGATATGTTTAGATTGTATTCAATTTTCCCTTCAATGAAAAATAACCTATCAGACTAACTGGAAAGGACAATCAAAAATGAAATAAATCATGGCTCTTGCTGTACCACACTGAGAATGTACGAGATGACACTGAAATGCACAATTAAAAAAAATGCACTTGAAGTAATGTTAAGCATATTTAAATTTTTAAAAGTTTCTTTTAAAAAATCAAATAACAACTCATACATCTAAATCATGCAAATTGCCTTTTTTTTAAGTGTCATAACACATGTGCTCTAATCATTATTTGGCTTTTGATTTAGGTTTTTGTGGCTTTGAATATAATTACTTGGGGCAATGTCTTGCTCTAATAGCTATGTCAGATCTATGCCCTATCTGTCTTTCTATCTATCTATCTATCTATCTATCTATCTATCTATCTATCTATCTATCTATCTATCTGTCTATCTATCCATCTATCTATCTATCTATCCATCTATCTATCCATCTATCTTTCTATCCATCTTTCTATCCATCTTTCTATCTATCTATCTATCTATCTATCTATCTATCTATCTATCTATCTATCTATCTATCTAATCTATCTATCTCTCCCTCCCTCCCTCCTATATATCCCTCACATCCTAGGGAATACAGCTATTTATGAAATAAGAAATTTTCATTATTTTGTGACTTTCTTTTATTTTCCCTCGGACTGTGGATGGAACCCGGAGGCCCCCTTACCCCTGAGCTACATCACCAGCCCTTTTATTTTGAGGCAGGGTCTTGCTCAGTTGCCCAGGCTGGCCTCGAACCTGCCATCCTCCTGCCTCAGCCTCCCAAGTAGCTGGGATCCGGGAGCGCCACCACGCCAGACTTTACCTGTTCTTTAAAAATCCTGTTTTCAGTGGAATCCTCACAGAAGCACCCCCCCACACACACACACCCGTCCCCAGCTTAAATCGATGAACATCAACTAAGAACACCCACCAGCACCCTTTCCCCTCCTGGAGTGTTGATTCTTAGCTATAATTTTCTATTAAGTTAATATTATTAAATGGGAACAAATAATTTTTAAAATTTAAAAAGTTTTTTTTTTTTTCAAAAGCGACAGTAACGCTGCAGACGAGTTCCTTCACCCCTTTACCTCCGATGACCCCAGAGTCGCTTCTGTCCGCCTTCACCAAAGGCTCTCCCTCCTCGCTGGGTTCGGAACGACCTAGGGTAGAAAAGGGGAGGCTGCCCAGGGCGTCGCAGGCCCTCTCCACCGCGCACCGCCGCCGTCCCCAGCCCGCGGGGAGGGGCAGGGGGCCA